AAGCCACACCCGCCTGCCATCGAGGGGCAGCACACAGCTCACTCGGGGCCTTCCCACGTGTTCTCGCGGACCTGAAGGTGTGGTTGTTCTGCCTGCGGCAAGGCACGGTGTTGGGCACGCAGCCGCCCGTGCCGGGGTCGGGGCTCTCCACGATGACAAAGGGCCGCTCTTCGAGCGTGGCCACCGTCACGTGCCGGCTGTCCATAACAGGCTGTAGAGACGCACCATAGCGAGGCCACACCGGGTACTTCATGTGGAGGACGCCGTGGTCCCAGCGCCCCACCTGCAAAGGGTGACCAGCTTCAGCCAGGGACCCCCAGCCCAAATCCCCCCACCGTCTAGGTGGGGCCTCCGGTGGGGGCTGCCAGGCCCAAGAATCCCCCTCCCTAACCTAGGGACATCTGGGGCAGGAGCATTTGGGGAGCAGGAGAGTCGGGGCAAGGGGCTGGGCATGGACCAGGAGGGAGGGCTCCCTGCAGCCCCCTCCCAGCCTCTGGTCCCTGCGTTTTACTGATCTAGCCCCCAAACTGCTGCTGGCCCACCGCATCGTCCTCGAGCCCAGACCTAAGCCTGTCTCACCACACTCGCCACCCCACCCCCCACCCCGACCTCAGTATAAAGTTCTTCACCCGGTACTCAAGGCCTTCCCCACTCAGGTCCACCTTACCCCCCTCACCCCACTCTTCCTCCTCAGCCTCCGCACCCCAAACACATCACTTAAAAATGCCTCAAAACCCTCTGCCCCTCTGTCTAAACCAGGCTAGTATCCCTTCCTGATGGGCTCCTACTCAGCCCTCCACAGTGCAGCCCAAATGTCCCAACTTCTGTGAATCCTTCCCCAGTTCCCTCCTTTGAAGACAGAACTGATTTCCGGCCCTTCTCTGTGTCCCCATAATGCTTTGCACGTATCTCTCCTCAAGCACTGATCTCCCCAAATTCTATATGTTTACATGTCCGTCTGGCCAGCATAGCTGTGGGTGAGTCCCCCAGGGGCAGGACTCTGTGAGGAGTGCTTGACAAGTTCTATCGTGGTGGGGGGCTAGGGTGCCATGGGAGCCCTGAGCCGAGGTGCTTCACCCACCCTGGTGCAGTGCAGATGCTTCAGCTGAGACCTGAAGGATGAGGGGCTGGATGAAGGACAGAAGGGACCCTCTGCTCAGCTGTGGGACAAGAGGGGCTGGGGACAAAATGAGAGGATACCGAGGAACCCTGGGCTCACCCCCTTCTCACCATCTCCCAGAGGCGGTGACGGTTGAGGGCGATCACAACCATGGTGGGCTGGACCAGGTACCCACCAGGGCTGAAGGAGAAGTCTCGGCCCTCCCAGGTGACATTCAGTAGGTGCCTGCGGTGGGGGAGAGAAACCAGGGTGTCCCCCCAGCCCTGCCCAGGACCAGAGGCCCCCTCCCCCACCTTCTACCTCACCCCCATCACCACCACCAGGTAGCACTGACTGCGCCCTTTTTGTTCTCCTTCCCTGTATTGACACACCCCCTCCACAATCCTCAACACACCTTCACACCGGCTTTTTTTTTTTTTTTCAGTTGAGGAACCCAAGCTCAGAGAGGTGAGGTAACTTGGCCCCAGGCACACAGCTGGTGGGAGGTGTGGCCAGCGAGCCCAAGCTCACTGCAGCCCAGGTCCGCTAAAGCGCCCTGTCCCCCTCCCATGCCCTGGGCAGGTGCCCACCTGTAGAAGGCCTCCTGGGCGGGGCTGACAGGCCCGGGGTGGCCACGGCAGTCCCCAGCCGGCGAGGGCAGGGCACCATGCTGCCGCTGATAGCCGTGGGCGCCCAGGGCCAGGATGGCCACGCCGTCGCGGACCTTCTGGCGGAGGCTGAGGCGCCAGCTCTCGGTGACGACGCTGATGAGGCCCACGGGGAAGGCGGCGGGGGGCGTGTCGGTGCTGCCCAGCGCCAGGCTGGGCACCAGCCACACGTGTCCGGGCCCCACCAGACCGGCCTGCGCCGCCTCGGCGAAAAGCACCTCGGCCTCCTCGCGCGAGCAGTAGGCCACCAGCACCGGGGCGTCGACCTGGCGCAGCAGGTGCTGGATGTGCGCGCGCTGCCCGCCCGGGCCCAGCTCCAGCGTGAGCACGTCCAGCAGCCGCCAGCTCAGGTAGCTGGCGTCGGCGACGGCGCGCACCCCGTCCAGGAAGAGCGCGTGCCCCGGGTGCAGGCTGGTGATCACGGCGAACGCGCTCCAGTCGTACTCCTCCAGCACCTTGAACAGCACCTGCAGCTGCTGCTCCAGGGACACGCCCAGCTGCAGGAAGGCGGAGCCCGGCTCCTGGGGGCGGGGCGGGGGCGGGGCCTGAGTCGGGGCGGGGGCGGCGCGCCCCGCCCCAACTTCTGCTCCCTCCCGCAGTCCCCTGATGAAGATGCCGCGCGCCCCTCGAGGCCCTGTGCGGCAACACCTGCCTCCGGCCCCTGACGTGGTTCCTAACCCCTGCTGCCCATTGGAATCACCTGGAGGGCTTTTAAAACTACTCAAGCGGGCCCCCACCGGAGCAACGCTGGATCAAAGCCTAGCAGCATCAGCTGCCCCCGCGGAGCTTGTTGGAAATGCACATTCCCAGGCGCGTCGCACACCTCTTGGATCAGAATCTGAGGATGGCGCCCATGAATCTGTATTTTAACAAGCTCTTCAGGTAATTCTTGAGCCCCCCAGTTTGGGAAGCGCTGCCTCAGACCAACTGACTCAGAATCTCAGAGATGGGACCCGTCTGTATTTTTCTAAAGCCTCGTTAAGGTAGAGAACCACCATGCTGAGGGTTACTGTCGGGCCCAAAGATAACAGGGAAAACAGCATCCTCCACGGAGCCCTGGCGAGGAGAAAGTTCCTCCTCTCCACCGCCTCCACATCACAAATGCAGAGGGCACTGCCTGCTAGTGCCTGGGCTAGCACAATCCCCTCCTAACTGTGGGCTCCCTGCTGCCCCTGCAGGCCCCCAACATTTCACCACACTGCGACTGTCCCAGTCTTTTTAAAAAACGAATCCGGGACAACCCTAAAGGACAAGTAACCCAGTTCCTTCAACAAACAAATTGCGAGAAAAGAGAGAGAGATGGAGCAGGATCCTAGAGATTGAGGCTCAGAAGCTACAGCAGCCAATCACTATGCGGAAACCTGATTTGTTTCTTGATCAAGCAAACACATTTAAAAATATGCATTTATAATGTTTATGAAACAATGGGGAAATTTGAATACTGACTGGATATTTGATGATGTTAAGGAATTGTGTTTTTTAGATGTGATAATGGATGGTGGTTTGGTTTTGAAGCCCTTATCTATTATAGAGAAGTATTTCCGGATGGGACAATAGGGCTTTGCCTCAAAATGACACAGAAGAGGGGGACGTGGGTAGACGTAAGGATGGGGCGGTGTTGGTCGGGGGTGGATGGTACATGGGGTCATTATACTCTTCTACTTCTATGTATGCTCAAATTTCTCCATAATAAAAAATAACCATAAAAGAACGGCAAACCAGATCGGTCTCTCCCCTCAACACCTTCTTGTGCCCCCCAGTTACTTAGGATAAAACCTAGGGCGCCTGGGTGGCTCAGTTGGTTGAGCGACTGCCTTCGGCTCAGGTCATGATCCTGGAGTCCCGGGATCGAGT